AAAAAAAAAAAAAAAAAAAAAAAAAAAGTTGAAAGTTCAAATATCTTGATTCGTCTGCTTTGACCGAAAAGCCCGCCAGAGAGCCGCGCGCGGGGGATCACCGCTCGTTGTAACCTCCTACAGCGAAAATGAGCAGGTAAGAAAAAAATGGAAAAAAAATGAAAAAAAAAAAAAAAAAAGCGCAGGTGGGACTTCCCAGGCAAGCTTACGGGGAGAGAAACAGTGCTTTACAAGCGGGAAGCACCATGTGGCTCAATGGGCAGATCGAGTTCAAATCATTATGACGAATGGACAGATTATGACGCAGAGATTATGTTTTTTTTCTGTCTGGGATAATTTGCAAATGGGGCTCGTGGGCGGGACCCTGGCACCGCCCGTTCGGCAGAATCCGTGCCACCAACCAGAGACCTGCCATAGCCGATAGCTCTCTGGCTCCTTGCACCATCGCTCCATAGCGAGGCGGATATGGCTGACTGGCTCAAGCTATAGGCTGCAAGGACAGGTGGGGGTACCCCCGTCCCTCAGGAGGTGGAAAAGTGTGTCCGGAGTGCACTGGGTAGGATCAGTAGTTAAACCACAGGCCGTTGGCAGTTGAAATCCTATTGGACGACATGTCATACATCCACGCCCAGATTGAGAGGGCAATTGAGAGGGCAATTGGCCACATCATTCGGGCATATCCTGCGGACGCAGATCCAGTGCGGCCTGCTCTGGTCAATGCGAAGTTTGACCTCGATCCAGCAGCGCGCTGTCGGACAAAATACCCTTACAAGGGTATTTGGCCATGCTTTGGCATTCGACACAGTGATGACGTCGGCTACCACGACGGACCCGGTCTGGAATGGAAAGGGTGTGCACGCTTTAGCGTGACACTCGAAACGAATTCCTCGGCCAATGAGGCCGGGGCGAATCGGTGAGAAAATGTCGAGAGTATGAGCGCGCGTTATTATGACGCGCGCTGTGATGGTTAGGATCAGTAGTAATGCCCTCTGACCGAAAAGGTCGAGGGGCTGATTGGGTTAGTGTTGTGTTAGGTAGATCTACCACACACATTGGGATTTAGGTCGGTACCTGCCAACCTACTGGTACCAAGTGTCTAAAAATGCCAACTTTTGTCTTCTTCTACTCGGCCTCGATTACCCGGCATATCTACCTCTACTTGGTATGGTACCGACCTACCTGCTACTTGAATGTGTTCGTTGCTCTCAAGTGTCCCGGTTTTTTTTCCCAGGTTCCGCACCACCTAAGAGTTTCCCCGCGACAACCCTCAATGTCATGGCTACAGGTAATTATTGGCCTTCGGGTCTTCCGATCGATTGAGTACCCAGGCGGGTCACACGTACACTCAAACTGACAAGCACTCCGACAGGAAAGCAGTCCGGCGAGCGTGCACACGTGCAGATTTGGGGAACGGGCGCACGCCGCTGGTCAGACTGAGCTCACTACTATATACATACTGAGTTGCTCCCCTTCTATTCGAAGTGGGAGCTAGCTCAGTAGGTTTTAGTGATTGCTTCACAGACGGGAGATGTACGGATCAAGGCCTACCGCCTTTGAGCTAGCTCCTTTTTGGCAAGGAGCTCAGCTACACTTTGCCCCGCGTCCGGACCACCGGGACTTGAACCCGTGATGTGAATATTAGGATTAGTTATAATTAATTGAGCCCCTGCTGGACGGGGAGCCGACATTTGGCCTGTACGGGTAACTGGTAGTTGGATTTTACTTAGATTCGTTTTCTTTTAGTTTTTTTATTATTTATTTATTTTTCTTTTCTTTTGTTTTCAACCGTAGCTGAGTTTCGTAGATTCACGTTCATAAATCTGCCTCCGAATCCAGGCAGATTCAATGAAGGAAACTAAGGAATTTTTTTGCTGCAAGCTCGGCCCCGTCGCGACCACGATCATGCAGGATCTACATGCGATGTGGTGAAGGTTGCTGTCGTGGGGGAGTGGGTCACCACGAGCGGAAGGCAACCAGCGAGCAAATGGGGAAAGCAACGGAAAATAGCGCGCGGGAAGCAACCAGCGGACGAGCCGGGAGCAAGGGAGAGACTGTGCGCAGTGAGAGCAGCGAGATGGCGGCAAGCGGGAGAAGGAGAAGTGTCAGACGAAGGAGGAGGATGCCGTGAAGGAGGAGGAGAGAGGGAATCAAAGAAAGAAGAAGAAGAAGAAGAAGAAGAAGAAGAAGAAGAAGAAGAAGAAGAAGATGAGAAAGGGGTGAGGAGAGAGACTTACCCGATCAACTTGGTGACGGTCGACTCCCACGCCATGCCTTCGACATGCGGCGCAACGCGGTGGATCGTGTTGGAGAGCGAGGAGTAACTAGTCGATCGGGCGAAGACGACGACGGGGAGTGAGAGAGAGAACAGGTAAATCTCCTACCCCTCGACTAGCCTAACGCTACTCTCGTCGATAGTGTGATAAATATATATATATATATATAAACCAAATGAATCTAACGCTACTACGTGGAAATATACACTACCACACTCGTTTGAGAGTGTGTGTGTGTGTGTGTGTGTCCGCTCATGATTTTGCGGTCAACACAATGTCGACACCAACTGTCAGAACGAAGACGACTAAAAACAGAAAATGGGTTGGACCCCTCGACCGTTATGGTCATAGAAGAGTAGTAACCGCAAGGGTCAAAACATAGCATGCGCAGACAAGAGTCAGGGGTTGAAAATTTTGAGTGATCGTCTGCGTCGTAGCAGAGCATGCAAAGACGACGAAGGTTATTGGGTTAAAAATTTGAATGACCGTGCGCGTCATTCCGACACGCGCAGAGACTGCAAAATAGTTGGTGAATAAAACATCCGACCACAAAGGTCGGAAGGTTAGTCAAAACGGGAACGGTCGCGCGAGAAGCGGCGAGGGTTTTTCTCAATTAGTTGATGACTGAGAATGTATGACTGAGTCCGTAGACATCGAATGTGTCGGGAAAGCGAGACACAAAACTACTCTCAGCAGACTAGAATATAGGTGGAAATTAATAAAGACCCTGGCCATGTGGCCGGGGCAACTAGAAAGGAGGGACCTAGCCTGTTGCAACAGGCTGCAGTGGCAAACAGTGGCGTGGGTTTCCCCTACGGTAGGCTGCTGGTCTTATGTACTAGCTAGACAAGGCCCTATACTCTACTTAGGGCGAATTGGCTCTTAATAGAATTGAACTAAGAGTTAGCCTAGTAGGTACATGCACAGATTGATACGCAAGGGATCCTGGGATCGAATTCGACTTGCCTTTGGGCTAGCTCCTTTTGCTAGTTGTGAAGGGGCAAGGCCTGCCTTTTCCGCCCGCCCTCAGACGGGCGGGATTCGAACCCATGACTTTAAGGATAAAACCAAGTATAGATGGACCCCGTTGAGACAAGTTGTCGCGACGGGGTAGTTAAAAGTAAGTTTTATTTTCATTTTTCATTTTTATTTTTATTTTTGAGTTAGTTTTCAATGTTTAACTAGTTTTTCTTTTTCCAAACCCCGTATTTTCTTCTTATTCGCTTTTACGATTGTACCGCCGAGACTAG